TTATGAAAATACGTGCGCTCCTATTATCGCAATCTACACATTTGTCATGGAATTTCGAGCGAGTCGAGAGAAAAACAATGTGAGCATAAATATAAAGATAATACATTCGTAATCTGGAATAGTCTGGCTAGTCCTACTTTCCCCAATCGAAAGTCTGGATGTATGGAAATCGTTATGCCATTACAAAACATGTTCTTTATACATAACAAGTTCCTCTACTTGATAAGAGTATTATGGCTTTACTGTAAGTTCTTGAAAATTTGATATTCTAGAATTCTCATGGTTAAAAGCTAACATGGCACGGCATTAAATATATAAATGGTACTTAACGTAAATTAAATGAAAATAAATAGAATATAACAAGCTGTGGAGCTATGATCTTTAAGCTTGAATAAATTGAAACTTCCAATTATTATTTTTATTTTCTTTATTTAATATTGTTTACCGTCAACGAGCATTACATAGTTTGTTGCACCAGACTGAGACGTTCTTACTAATTTTATTGTTGACAAGTGACTCGAAAAATTGCATAACTGCCTTAATTAGTTTTATAGCAAAACTAATTGGGAGTCACCACAAAAACATAAAGTTCAAATATCTGAAGCGTAAATCCGCGAAAGTAGTTGGACTATATTAGGCAGAGACTAAAGAAAAACACATGAGCAGGCATTACGTAAACTTCATATGTTTTGCTTGTTTTCGCAAAGAGATGGCGTAAAATAAACTAACTAAATGAAAGTGACTGAAAAATATGAATAAAATAAACAAATTTTAGGCAAGTGTGTGAGAAGCCACCCACAAGAAATATTATGAGGGAGAGAACGATAGAGAGAGAGAGAGTGAGAGAGCGCCAGATTCAAAGAGAGGGTAGGCTTTGCTACTAAAGTAAGAAACACACTCGGTTAGCTGGGCAGGGAAAAGTTTTAAAGTTACAAAAACAAAAAACTTAAAAATAAATAATGGAAAAAAAAAAAACAAAGTTCAAGCAACAAATTTGTTCAMCGTAGTTGTATGCAATCGGTTTTTGTTTTGGTTTTCTTTGATACATTTTCGTTCAGCTTGATGATTTCCATCATGAAAAATGAAATGTGTTTCGCTCGACGAATATTTGAAAACTGACTTTTGGTTTTCAATGGGCTTTGTGGTTGCAGCTTTTCGGGGCTAAAATTGCCAGCGGCAACGGCAATCTCTGATTGCTCTCTGTACGGTTAAACAACATAAGTATACAAAATATGTCGCAATCAATTCTTGTGGCCCAGGTCAAGCCGACGAACCGGTAAAGAACTGTGGCAGTCATGTCATTAAAGTTCCGGATAGAATTTCTTGAGATCTGACATACATAGTGTATCTGCGTAATCAGTGATGTATGACAATGTAATGAACCGATATTAAAGGTACTGAAAACTGGAGCAGTACGTAAATATCTTTAAGAATTACCTACTCCACTTCGAGCGGCGTTCCAGAAAAGGAAAACGCCATTTGCATGAGACCCCCCCTGAAGAGCTCTGGCTACGATTTGCCTATCCGTAAGTCACGTAAATAGTTTTATTCGTCATAAATCGTTGGACCAGAACAATGTTGACGTGTTTTGAAGTCTTAACATTTTAATGTTTTTTTTTCTGTCTTTTTCTTGTAGAGCTTTTCTCTCATTTATATAGAGCCTGCACGGCGCCATTTAGTTTTGGAATTTCACTATTTTTCAGTTTATTACTTTTTACTCTTCAGTTTACATGCGGCTAATTATTTTGTTTGTTTTCATAATCAGGCAGATGTCAAGAAATCAAGAGTAACGCACCCACAAAACTACTGAAAATGTCAAAGACTTTTGACAGAAAAACTTCTTAAGATATAGCTCAATTAGCGTTTAATTTGCTTACCTTCGGCCAGCCAACAAATTCCACAGATTGCAAGGAATAGGCACAACTTAATCCACATATTGTGCGCTCTTTTGTTTCGGATTGAAATATTTGTTAGTGTAAATGTTGTATATATCTTATATATATATATATATTTAATTGATCAAAGCAACATAATCAAGCTGGATCAGAGAAATCTTTCTTTAAATTTCCTCAGCTTGCAATTGAACATAATTTAGGCAATTGAATTTAATTTATTGTTTATTAACTTTGAATTAATTTTTTTTTTTTTTTCTGTTTTCCGTGCTGTATTCGTTTGGTATGCTCGCCGTTCACTTTGTTTATTAGCTTTTATTTAGGTAATTTACAATAGTATATATGTATATATGTATATACTTATTCACTTATTCACATGAATTCATTTTACACATCACACACATGTATATATTGTACATATAGAATATATTCCATATCAGTGCTAGAGCCTTTTACCATATGAAATTTATGCAAAATTCTCTGTTCTTATTTGAATTATTATCTTTTGCACACCTGTAAATATCAGCACCGCATATGCTATGTTACTGTGTAGATAATACATGTAAACATTTATATGTATATATGAAATGGGCCTGTAATGTGATATGACCTATAAAGAGTGTTGCGGAGGGCTCTGGCTCTGCAGAGACAGAGAGAAATATCTAGATTATTACAAGATTATTAGCTAGACAAAACATTTTAGCACAGAAACCAAAGCAACTGGAACATTAGCCGAACTCTCAACCGTTCTTTGTCTTCTGCCGTGAGTGTCGCACACATGTCAACCCTCCTGGTCTTCCTCTTCTCGTTGTTGTTGTTGTTGTTGGCATTTGCTGTATGTTTCTCGTGTTCGGTTGCCAGCACACATTGGCTGGTTGGCTTTGTTGCTTGCCATTGCAATTGGCGGCATTTTAGCCAGAGTCATTTATTGCCAGGTATTTGCAGCTGTTTCCTTGGTCCCGACATAGCCGTAAATATTTTTCTACGGTATGTACAAGTATTTCCCCGTTTGGGAGACTCGACCAGCACCTACAGCCACAGGAAAAAGAGCATGGACTCTGAGCGGGTAAATATTTAAATTGGGTCTGTTTGTCCAGTTTGACTGAAAGCTCACGTTCCGTGTCCAGTCGCTTGGAAACAGGATAAATTTGACTGGAAAAAAGCCAACCTGGCAGCACTGGTTGGCTGGTGTTTTAGCGCCAGATTTATGGCATGCCAGGAGACGCCGCACACAACCAAACAAACATTTTTCTATGACCAACGGCACTGGCCAGCGGCCAGGTGGTGGGCAGGTGGGCAGGTTGGCAGGTTGGCGAGTTGGCGCAAATGAAAACGCTTTTGACCGGAAGTCGCGGAAGCGCACTGAAAAAGTCATTCACCTGTGTAAAACCTATTTTGCAAGTGCAGCGGGGTTTTTAAAAAGGATTTTTGACGCTCGTGGCTCTAGTTGAGGCGGGATTACAACTCAGTTTGTTATACTCAGTAAACTTGAAAAACTTTTCGAGCAATTCAAATAGTTTGTTTTATATTTGACATCTAATAAGTATGGAATGGAAACCGATTTGTAAGAATTTAACTTATAATACGCTAGTAATTAATTTTTTGTTCTTATAAATTTTTATTTTTTGGCCTTTGGCCGCTCCACTTTTTAATGCAATTTCATTATGCATTGATGCATTAACTTTAAAAAAAAGTTGATTTACACTTAAGGGTCAGATGCAGATTTATGTTATTCAATTTAGCATTGAGCTACTCGTTTTACACATGCGTCCACAACGCGGTCCAAACACAAACTGATTTTCCATAGTGTTGCCAAAGCCCCTGACAACGGCTAAAGCCAACGTACAACAACAGCAACAGCAACAGCCTGTAATGCCGGTGCGTTTGCCTCAGTTGTTGTTGTTGTTGTTGGTCGTATACTCCTCACGTACATACATATGTGAGCAGAAGTCGCGTCTGAAGACTCTCTGGGTCTGGGTTGTTGTATATTTTGTTATTGCTTTTGCTTTTGCTTTTACTCGCCTTCCCTCCAGTTGTTGCTGCTGTGTTGAAAATGTTTCCACATCACTCGTCAAGCGTTTCCATTTAAGCTCTTCATAAAAACAACAAAACAAAAACGTAACGAACAACAACAATGGCAAATGTTGGCTAGTAGTGGTTGAAAGCAGATACTATGACTACGCTGGGGACTACGCGCACGCGCCCAAGCTCAAATTGCGACGCTCCATGAATGGGCCAGTCCCGCTCAGATATCTACCAATATTGAAGGCACAAGCTCGCACCTCTTCTCCTTCTCCTACCTCTTTAGTACAGACTTATTTGGTCGTTGTCGAATTTAGTGCTCGACAAACCCTTAAGTTTTGGATGCACCTGTAGTATCGTCGTTGCGCTTGGCTGAGCCGGCTTAACTTAAACTCACCCCATTGAGAGAGAGAGAGGTGGAGCGGACTGGCTCTCTTAAGAGGGAGCGGCAGCCGCTGGCTCTCTGTTTACATTGTAATTTCTCGCCCTGGCAACGGAGGCGTCCTAGTAATTGCCGAGCCGGTTTAGATACCCTCAGCTCATAGAAAATGGATAAAATGGGTATTTTGCTTTGGGTAGGATTTATGCTAGCTGTAAAAGTACATATTGTATACGGATTTCTGCACTATGTAGTCTATTGATCAATCTCTGAAATAATTGGCATATGCTTAATTACAATAAGTGTAGATATCTCAAAAAAAGGAATACACAATGTATTCTAGTCAGGCACTCTCTCCCTCTCCCTTTGCTTTTAGTTTTTGCTCCTGTATTACTTTTCGTATGCCATGAGTCAGTGACGTTGCATTTGCATTTGCATGTCGTTAATTGCTATGTTTYGAACTGGACGTCGGGCCCGGCTCCTGCACAGTTCAACCTGTCCCCAAGAACATAATTGCGTTGGCCGTGCGCCCCTTTAAGTAGTTTTGCTTTCTTGGTGTGTGTGTGTGTGTTCCGTCGATTATTTTGCTACATATACAGTTACATGCTTTCTTTGCATACTTTTAAATGTTTTTTGGGCCATGCTTTCATTCGATTTCTCACAATGGATTTTGCTTTCCTCGAGCAGTGACAGCCAATCCATTTGACTTTCTTTATGACCTGCTGGTCGATTATGCTTGCTTTATTGAGCTTTAAATAAAATTGAGCTTTTACTGAAATTGTAATGTCAAAGGTTTACAGAGTTGGTTACTTAACGCTTGCCTGACTGAATTGTGCTTAATTATTGCTTAGATAGTTAGTTAATAGATCACATCAAGTGCCTTTACTAAGGGCTTTATTATAAGATTTTGGCTTAGATTGGAATTCGATTCGACTTATGCATAGCAGTCAGATGAATACTTTAAGAACATCTACATAAATAAGAAATTAGCTAAATCTCAACTGGGACTCTATAGTTCCGTATGACCGAACTTATCATAGAAGCGCTCACAGAGTGCCGACAGAGCCTGGGATACCTCCAATCGATATTCGTCTTGGCTGTGCGCGAATCTGTTGCGCACCGTTAGCAGCGCATGCCGCAGAGTAGGACTCTGGGACCAGAGCGGCTTGCAGAGACTTTCGGTGGTTTGTAGTGCATCTATAAATTGCTCGACCACGTCTGCTTGATCCAGCATGTGTACATAGTCCTTGCTGAGAACTGCTTCTAGGGCGGCACAGTAGCCGTTCGACTGCAACCACGACTCAAACTCGAGTAGCACGTATTGCGCTAAGGCTTCTTCTTTGCCTTCGTCGAGGACATGTCTTTTCTCTAGCACTAAATCGCCAATTAAGGTGACTACCTTGGCCTTATTGCGCAGCTCTATGTCTGCACTGCGTAGCAGGCCAATCAAAGCCTGTGTTCCCGAGGTGGAGAGTACACGGTGCTGAGCCAAGGGGAACTTGCGCAACAGAGCGCCGAACGCATGCAGCGCCGTTGAGATTTCGGCGCTGTTCGTCGAGCTCATCATGATTTGTGCCAAATGAGAGCCGAAGTTGCGCTCAAAGACCTTGATCTGTGCCTTGGGATTATTCCCCGCCAGAGCGCCCAGCACTCGCATTGCAGAAACTTTGAGTGCCGTGTTCGTATCGTTCACCACAATTGGGAGTAGAACATCGTCCAGTCCGCCACTGTCGATAAAAACCAGTGCGTTGTCAATCTGATGCAGCATATATCCTAGATTCTCCAATATATTCAACTTGGGCTTCAGCTCTATGTCAAGCGGTGTTTTGCTGAAGTTACGATATTCTTCTATCAGCTGCACGACCACTTCGGCATCAGTGCGAAAGTTCTTTTGGAAATCTTTATAGGCTTTTCGCAACTCTGCATAGCTGCGATGTTCCTTTACCTTTCGCACCGACTCCTCAATGAGGTCTGCTTTATATTCAATGGATAAGTGGTCATTTGTCGACCCAGATCCTGATTTGTTCTCGCTGGATTGCGGCTGCAATGCAGTATCACGTTCGCTTGGGTCCAGTAACTTCGCCTCCTTAAGGCCTGTCTGCAGATTAATGCGAACGTGTAGCCCCTTTGGTATGGCCTGACCTAAAAGAAAAGGTATGTTAATTAAAACATGACCCGTAACTGATTGGTACACGTAATAAAAACCTTCGGCTATGACTTGCCATTCATCAGTGGCAACGAATTCGGCTGATTTGTTTACACGTGTTGATGCCGACACCTGTAGACAGACGAGCATCGAGACAACCGCTAACCTTGTGCATAATGTGGACATATGCATTATAACTGATTTGAATGTACTGTATTCTTATCTATAATCCAGACTCTATTGTGCGGTTATTCCGCTTTGTATAATACCACTGACCAGTGATAATACGTTGGTCAGTGATAATACGTTGACAAACCGTCAGTGATGTACAAAGAACTGCTACATGTTGTATTATCGATAGAATAGCCATCGATAGCTAGAATGATTTCCACTTAACAGTCTGGCTACACTATATTCTTAATCTGAAAGTATGGTCAGCTTATATTTGTAGTATAACAGAATTTAAATTCAAATAATATGATTTGCAAAAAATAATTATTTTCATTGTCTTACGGCTTATTCATATATACATTATGCCATTCAATTACCAAGTCATTATTAGTGTCAGCTTAAAATAGAAATTAAATAATCAATAGAAAGTGTCTCATGTAAAAGTGTAAAATGTATTTAAACTGGTTTTGACATAAACTCATTTGTCGCACTTAACGAGCTTATGCTATTGATATGAATAGCAGGTTTAACATTATAAATCTATTCAAATATATTCATTCGTCGAATGTCAATATCAATAGAACACTCGCGACTTTACATAAATGATTTGGCAATTTTTTAAATTTTCTTTTGTTTTGTTTTGTTTATGTTTTTTAATTGTAATCGTCGAATGTAAGCTATGAAAGCGTCTGGGAATTCGTATACCAATCAAAACAAAAACTTTAATAGTTTATACATATATACATATGTACATATCTGTATATACATATATATTATCAAATATTAAGGCGTATGGCACTGGCGCCAATTGAATGTGTAAATAAACATATTGCTTAATTCGCTTCTATTCACGCTTTTCTGACTCGTTCATGACGTAAAAAGAGTACATATAGGAATACTATAATCAGATAACAAAGTTCAAAAGCTAGAGTCTCTAGAACTCCAAATATATAATATATATGTATGATATTTATAACTTATGCATAGTTGTTCATATAATTTATGTAAAATGTATAATGTGTGCATATGTTTAAAAAAATCAATATCTTGCATTTTACAGATATGAATAAAATTAGTGCATATCTTTTTTAGTTGATGAACAAAAAAATATATATTCTCCAGTCGAAATGTCAATATCGATCTGTGAACGGGTATTTTTCAGTCGGTCCCGCCAAGCAACTTTTTTAAAATATTATTTTTAAGGTGGCTTCTCTACAGGTAGATAATATGCGAACTATTGATGACGAATGCTTTAAGATTTCGGTAATATCTGGTAATATTTGCTATATTTACACGACGCATACCATTCATAGTTTGAAAGTGAGGCCATTAAATTCACAGGTTGTCTGACTAGCCTATTTGGTATACCCTGAAATTATTAAAAACTTTTCAACAACTTTTAAAGTTGTTGTTAAAATTTATGCATAGATATAAGAAGGCGTGGTTGATAGCCGGCTGGATAAATGCACATATATATTGATATATATTAGTTCTTAGTTCTACGTTGTTTCAAGTCAATAATAACATTTTCTAGAATGTTTTCGTTCAGGGCATCTTCTGATCAGATACTCCCGATTAAAGAAAAACTGATTTTTGTGCTTTTTTGTTTGTTTTATTTTTTTAATTTTATTTTCAATGTTTGGCAAATTGGCAAACCAGTCTGACACTCGCTATATCGTTCATTATTATAGTTGTTTCTAATTGCTGTGCTGCGCGAGTTTCTAAATAGATCTTGTCTCTGATGATGCGGTTATCACCCGAAACGGAAATTCCTCAACCTGTCTGCGCATTGTGTTTTCGCTTGTGTTAAATAGTTAATCACCTTGAGCTGTTACGAACATACGCTTGTTTTGTTTGGCTTCTGCACAGTTAGGGGTTTGCAGATGATTTCGGTGATTAACTCATTAGTTGCTAGCAAATGAATAGATTCTTCAGTTAGTTCCATTTAACGACCTCAGCAAAACTGGAATTAACTAAACTAAAGTTGCATGATCTCAGTTTTAAAATGAGTATGAGTATGAGTATTTGACATGCATGTCCGATCATTTAACACTCGCTAAATTTCGCATGAAAATCTCTACAAAAGTCTCTAATCGAACCCCTTTGCAAACTGCATAGGTATATGTATGTAGCTGATGTCAACGCAAATACAAAATGAATACTATACGTATCCATACATATATCTAAATATTTATCTATATTATATTTATTGTTATTTCTGTTTTGTGCTTTGCCAACAATGCGAAAGGCAGACAATAAAATTGACATTTATAGATCTTCATACAAAAAACGCATTAAAGAGAATGTGTTATAATATGGTATATGTATGTGATATTGCTAGATATAAGATCGATGCAATGATGGAACACGATATATCCTAGATCAATCTAAAAGCTAGATAAAAATGTATACATATAACTGTACATTTATAGGTAGATATTGTATATTTAGTCTAGAACTGCGTTTTAGAATTCGCATTCTAAATTTCAAATTTTAAACAGTTACTTACATCGACGTCTATGTAAATTTAGGAGCTGTTTAGATATCTATGAATAGTATTTAGAGTTCGTCATTCGCAGCAAACATAAACGCCTTTAAAGACGTCAAAAACCAGCTAGCGAAACGGGAATTAAAATGAATAAATTCACTTTTGATTTTGTCGCACTGTGGGACCTGTTAATAATATCAATTATTAATATTCTTGCCATCGTTGTTGTAGTTACTGTTGTTGTTTTTTGCTAGCTACTCGCACAGTGAATATAAATTCGAATCTATGTTGATGCGAAGATAAAAAGCAACTGCAACAACAGTAAGAAGAACAACAACAATAACATCGCTTACGCGGCGAGCTGCGAATTCGAATTCGAGTTCGAATCTATGCTGATGAGAAGCCAACAGACAAAAACAGCAACAGACAACAACAATAAAACGACAACAACAGCGACAAGAACAGAAAAGCGACGCGAAGCGAGACGAGCTGAGAATGAATAAACTTTTTAACGTATTGGCCGAATTGTATTGGCGATCTCCGTCTCAAAGTCTATAAATGGCTGCGTTTGCTCAGAGCCAATTTACAGTTTAGCATTGAACTTGGTCGGGAGTTCGCGAAAAGAGCCGTGCGCTGCGTCGCCTTTGATTCCTGTCTTTGAGGAGCTGTATTTGCTGCTAAACATGCTTTTTGCCGTGTGCTCCGTTTTTCTGTTCGCCTGCCTGATTAGTGTCAGTGGTGGCGCCAGCCGCCCATCTAATTTTCGTGAGTCCAATGAGCCGAATTGGCGCCAGCCGAGCTCCCAAGTGTTTTGTATTGATTTTGTATTTACTTAGCCGCCGAACTGCCGATTTGCCATTACGGCGACACCGAGTGCATCATCAATGTGTCCCACAAGCTGGTGCGCCAATATGCGCGCACTGGCTTTGCACCCGCTGCATTCCCACAGGTGGAGCCGTTCCTGATTAAGCGCTTTGATATTTCGGATGGACGCAGCGGCTCGCTGAGTCTCAAGCTGAACTTCCGGGACGTGAATGTGGAGGGCTTGTCCGGCGTCAAGTTCGACCGGGCCGTGTAAGTGGACACAACAAACATTTATGTTTTTATATTATTTGGTATTCATCTCATTGGTTCTCATTGTTTACTTTCAACTCGCAGTGGCTTCGACAGGAATCCATCCACAAGTAAGTTTGAAATGTACGGCGCGTTCTCGAAAATTGTGCTGCGTGGTAAGTACCTGGCCGATGGACGCATTCTGATTCTGCCCATACGCGGCGATGGCGATGCTGACATCACCCTGCACAATCCCAAGTTCTCGGTCAAGTTCAAGCCGGCCACACAGGTGCGCAACGGACGCACTTTCCTCAGCGTGGACAAGCTCAAGGTCCTCGTGGAGCCACAGAAGTAAGTCGAGAGCTGTTCACATAAGCCAAACAAACTATAAGTTGGGATTCCTTCCCTAGAATGAACATCAAGCTGACCAACCTCTTCAACGGTGACCAAGCGCTGGGCAACAATTTGAACCAGTTCCTGAACGAGAACTGGGCCGATGTCTGGAGCGAGCTGCAGCCGTCGGTGCATGTCGCCATTGCGGATATCATGAAAAGTATTCTCGCTACACTTTTCAAACGTTTCGCCTACGAGGATTTATTTCTGGAGGAATAGATAATCGCCGCCCCCACTCTTTGAATGTGACATATCTTCATATACCTATATAAAACCTTAGTCTATAAGTCTTTAGCTATTAACGTGTACGTGTGCGAGTATTTTTTATCACAAATATGCTTCAATGGACTGTTTGCTTAAGCAACACTTACAAATATAAGAACACTTTTTAGAATATCAACAATTAATTAATAAAACAAATTTAATAACTGAAATTTAAATTTTTTACACTTGTACCTGTACACTTTTTGTTTATCTCATTTTAATTCTCTCTCCTTGCCTCTGCCTTTGTTCTAGCCAAATCAGATTATCATTTTTGTCAGTCAGTGGCTTTTGACATTAGAACAGCATTTTATATAGTATAGCACTGTATACAGTATAATAAAGTTCTTGTTTTTATTTCCGCAAAGCTGACGCATAAATTTAAGCCAGGAATTCGGCAGCCGATTCACGTGATTGATTTGCATACAAATACGACGTCAATCACATTCACATTTTAAATCCAAACTGTTTTTTCGACAGTGCAGTCTGGTCTACAACAGAGCCACAGCCGGCAAAATATATATGTATATTGTGCATGTATATGCCTCTAAATATATGTATGCATATAAAAGCTATTTAAACCTAAACCGCTGTCAAGTTCAAGTGTAGCCAACGGTAAAGCCAACAAATGAAGCAACTGATAGCTAGTTAACCTTGGAACTCTACGCGAAATCTTCCATGTAAGCTGCACGAGTCACTCAACTGTTCGATGGTTACTTAGGAACTAAGAAGCTGGCTGTCAGTATTACGATCAGGTTGTACGACTTGTTATTATTGTTATTAAATTTATTGTTGTTTACGTTCATTTTAGGAATCTGGAGGCTGGTTAACTGGACAATCAAGTGTACTATATACATATGTAGTATATATTTAGCTCTGCCTGCAGGCAATTTTTATTCATAGTATAGATATATTTACAATAAAAAGGAGTTTACACTCAGGTGTAGCCGACTACCAGATACCCTGAGATATCAAAAAGTATGCTTATAGAGATAGATATAGAGATACAGGTACAGATACAGATACAGATACAGATACAGATACAGATACAGATAC